TGTGGTATACTATGTATATATCTCACATGTAGTATACTAGTACATATCTCACATGTACTATACTAGTACATCTCTCACATGTAGTATACTAGTATATATCTCACATGTAGTATACTACTACATATCTCACATGTAGTATACTAGTACATCTCTCACATGTAGTATACTAGTATATATCTCACATGTAGTATACTAGTATATATCTCACATGTAGTATACTAGTACATCTCTCACATGTAGTATACTAGTACATCTCTCACATGTAGTATACTAGTACACATCTCACATGTAGTATACTAGTACACATCTCACATGTAGTATACTAGTACATATCTCACATGTAGTATACTAGTACACATCTCACATGTAGTATACTAGTATATATCTCACATGTAGTATACTAGTACATCTCTCACATGTAGTATACTAGTACACATCTCACATGTAGTATACTAGTACACATCTCACATGTAGTATACTAGTACACTCAGATGTTAAAGGACAGTAACCTTTGAGGACGACGAGGTGTCTCCCGGAGACGGTCATCTGCTTACAGCGCAGGGTGGGGGGGGGCAGGACGGTCAGCGTGGTGCTCACTGGGGACGGACGATAGAAGGAAACAATTACTCGTTGTGCGACCAGCTGTTCATTTTATGGTCTGGAAAATGTCCAAAACAGGTAGATCTGGAATACTTTTGTTTTCCTCTCAACATATTTAAGATGCCTTTTTTGTCCTTTAAAGAAAACCTCTGTGGGAGCAGAGGAGTCGCCCCCTGCTGGTCACTACAGAGAATGCAGCTTTAACACGTGATGGTTTTGGGTTAAGTGTGTGTTCCCAGTGACCCCCCCGGCCCCACATGTGTGTGTGTGTGTGTGTGTGTGTGTGTGTGTGTGTCCTACCCTGAGCTTTGAAGGTGTTCAGGTCGTGTCTGAAGGTGTGTGTCGGCTCTCGTTGCTGCAGGACGCTCAGGTAGCCGAGCTCCTGCACCTCCCCTTTCTCCGCCTCTTTCTTCCACACGGTCACCATCACCTGGCCGTGCACACACATGGAAGGAGAACGTCTCACCTTCTCTGACTTCCAGCAGTTAACCCCGCCCCTTGTATTCTACGGAGTTCCTCCTGACCTTGACCTTCAGGGTGCTGACGGGGAGTTTGTCCAGGGAGACGGTGAGAGGGAAGATGACCTCATCGGTCAGCACCACCGGTTCGTCCAGTGGAGACTGAAGAGACAGCGGTGACCAATCACTGACCTCGTATAACCATGAACATTGCTCGTCATTGAAACTGGCCCGCCCCCCGAGCGTGAACTAGCCAATGATAACAGTTCTCCCTAGACCCGCGTGTCTGGTTGACAGCGATACTAGTTACTAGAGACAGGCGTCGGGAACCTTTAACAAGCTAAGCGGTCTTCGTCCTGACATGACGGCTGATACGTTTTGTCTTCTGCCCACAAGCCGCTTGGTTACTTGATGGGTTCTTAGTTGTGACGTGTTGCTGATTCGTCACGCTTCTGTCACGTGACCGTGTGTATCATCTTCTTCCGGTTTCTTCCTGTCCGGTAACACCTCCTTACCTGAACAGGCGCCCTGCGAAATTCCCTCGCCGCCGTGCCAGACGAGTTGTGTATGAGCAGCGGCTTGCAGTCCCTGAAGCTGCGGCAGCGTGAGTCCACCCGGCTGCCCAGCGCCGCGATGGCCGCCTCGGCCGCCGCCATGTAGTCGTCCTCGCCGTCCTCGCGGGCCTCGTCCCCGCCGCCCTGGTAGTTGTGGTGATGGTGGCCTCGGTGGCGAGCGCTGTCCCCCGGGCTCACGCTGGCCACGGCGCACAGCGAACCCGCCAGCTCCCGCCAGGCCCGGCCGCTGGCCGACTCCGTCCCGAAGACGGCGGCCGGGCCGTCGGCGCCGCCTGCTGGAGAAGCGGGAATAAGACGATGCATCCATGGCTGTGAGTTCCACCTCATGAGAGCTTCAGTCCTGGTTTAATGTTCTACATTCGTTCAATGAATCAACTTCTGCTCAATAATCAAACAAATGTTTGTCAACATTTTACCAAACATGGTCCATTTCTTTCATTCCAGATAAAAACTAACTTTTATGTTCTGTGTATATATATATATATATATATATATACTATACAATATATATATACTATACAATTAGGATATATCCAGAATAAAATGGGATATGATATATTTTATATATATATAAATTAGGGATCTATCCAGAATAAAATGGATATGGATATATTTTACTGGATTAGGGACATCAATATATATAAAATATATTTTATATATATATATAATAAATTGGGAATCTATCCAGAATAAAAGGGATATGATATATTTTTACTGGGATTATGTACATCATATATATAATATATATATATATATATATATATATATATATATTCTGCACTCATCCATCTTTGATCCCACCTGCACGAGAAGAAGCATCAATCTGATAACAAACAATAACCCCCCCCCCGCTTACCGGGGCCGGGCTCGCTCGGCGTGCCCCCCCCGTCGCGGCAGCGCAGCACCAGCAGGAAGCGCACCGTCTCCCCCAGGTACAGGTGACTGCGGCGCGGCAGCGCGCGGTACCGCGCCGGGTCCGACAGGTCGCTGATGGGCACCGCGGGGAAGTACATGAAGTACTCGCACTGCGACTCCATCATCTGCACCATGGCGACCAGCGGAGGAGAGCGGAGGCAGGGAGGGGGCGAGGAGGCATGGGAGGCACACTTCCGCCTCTCGCTTTCACAGTAAAAGCACGGACACGGGGAGGGAGTCAGAAAGAGGACTGCGCCCCGTGGTGGCCAGAGGAAGTATCGCATAAGTATTATATCACATCTTTATTAACTGAACGCTGCAGGTATCAGTAATTTGTACATAATTAATACCTTTCATACGGTAAATGGGTGCAAACAAAACAATAAAGACCTTAACATGGCAGAATGATGATAAATAAAGCAATACTTGTATTATGTAGTACTTTGTGTAATGTTTGGGACTAAATAAAAATAGTTAATATTAGATATAATAAAGGTTATGATATTTCTCTGGTGTTAGACTTTAGATTAACAGTACGTCTATGACGTAGCTTAGCTTAGTTAATAGTACCTTAATAAATACATATAAGTACTGCTTTGGTAATACTGTTAATCTAAAGTCTAACACCAGAGAAATATCTTAGCATGATGTGTGTGGAACAACTTCACTATTATTAGTGCGCTTTCATTTATTCTTATTATTTTTATATATATATTTTATGTATATACAAACACATATAGCATATATAGGTATATTATAACATATTCTAACTTATATGTTATGTGTTATGATATGCAAAAAATAAGATAAATCAGATGAAGTGCTTCATTTAAGATGGTAGCCGACCCCTCTCACCCGGACAAAACCAGTTTGTGCCCCTTCCATCTGGCAGGAGGCTGAGGTCCATCCGGACTAAGACCTCCTCGGGCTCATCAACAGAGCCGGTCCCCCACTGACTGACATCCCACCATCACTCCCATCACACTGGGATGATGGTGTTGAAGGCAGAGCTGAAGTCCACGAACAGGATCCTGGCGTAGGTTCCTTGGTCCAGAGTCCAGATGCTGAGGATGTAGTGGAGGACCATGTTGACAGCATTGTCCACAGACCTGCTGGCTCTGTAGGCGAACTGCAGGGGGTCCAGGAGGGGGTCCAGGAGGGGGTCCAGGAGGGGGTCCAGGAGGGCCGCCGCATGTTTCTGCGTCTTTACGTGTCGACGCGCTGGTTTCACTTCCTGGTTGTAAAGTCCTGCGTGTGTTGCAGAGCGATTCACCTCCAGAACAACAGGTGGAGTCACGTGTTTTGTTGAAGACGACCTGGAGAGTCACGTCTTTGTGTGTGGAAGTCGTTGGTGGCTTTATTTATTGATCATAGACTTTATTGCCCCGTGCATCCACACTGCTGCTTTTCATCAAGGACACATTTGTCCCGTATTTTCCTCCACGACTTTGTCCCCTCGTTTGTGGAGATCTCCCTCCATGAATCAGAGGCCATCCGGCGTCCTCATAGTCCGCCAATGACGGCTTGTACAAGCGCTCATATTTACATATTTCTTCCCACAAAAGCTCTTCAATCTGATCCGTTCTCTCGTAAACATTCTTATACGGCCGTATTGTGCTGTGGGAACGGGAATGTGAGGGGAGACGGAGTCCGGGCCGGCTGCCTTACGGGGCATTTGTCTTTTAAAGAGCCGGTTAACGTCTCTCTCCAGAATAGAGCGGGTCGTTGCTGGTGAGGAGTGCGGTGCACTGGGGCCGGTTGGTGGATCAAATCTGCAGTAGAACTCGTTCAGCTCGTCTGCAGGCGGAGGTCATTCATGGAGTTTGGCTTGTAGTTGGTGAGGTGTTTGTCTCCAAACCGAAGCAGAGTCACTTGCTGAGAACTTGTTGGAGTTTCTCAGAGTACAGTCGTTTAGCGTCTCACCGCCTTGCTAAACTTGTATTTTGACTCCGTGTACGAGTCTTTGTCCTAAATCCTGATCCTTCTGCAGACGTAGTGTTCTGAGTTCAACTAGAACATTCTGAGACAGACGGCGTTGTTGAGCTGGACCAGTACCGAAGGAACTGAGGGCTCAACGCAGACGAGGCAGCGTCGACTTCCAGGAGCTCAATGCTGTTTCATTGAGGAGACTTGGTCCAGAATGGATGAGATGCACAAAGACGACGATTCTGCTCCTCAGTAGTTTGTAATTGATGTACTATCTTAAACGGAGTTTCTTAGGATTATTTATGTAGCTTAAAGAGAACAATTTATGGTAAATAAGTCTTATTTTTTCCCGTCAGCTGACACGCTCGGTGAGTGGTCATCAGCTCTGGTCCATGACCTTCCCTGCATTCGGAGTAGTTTGTGTAGGAACCTGAAGAGCTGCGTCTACGTGAGTCCTCAGTCTTTATCATTCCATGTGTGTTCCATTCTTTAAAGCCAGGAAGGAGAGACGTCTTCCTGACTAATCAGAACATCTTCTACTAATCCTGACTTCATCAACAACAAATGTTCTCTGTGGATTTTAAGGTGAGCTTTTCTGTGAACTATTCTGCTTTAGCAGATAAAAGAAAAGCAGCATATTCAAGACGGAAAAAGTTTTACGTCGGCGTAACTTTTCTAAATGTTCCCATTGCGTGTTGTTGACTTGTTGTTTTTAGTTTGATGAAGTAAGATGTGCCACAGAGACGATTCCCCCCGACGACTCATTATGACACATTCAAAATTCCTCTCAGGGGATGAAGATCCTTTTGAGAATCGCTGAGTAAAAAGTTCTTTGAAGAACCGTTTGAGTAAAAAGTTCTTTGAAGAACCGTTTGAGTAAAAAGTTCTTTGAAGAACCGTTTGAGTAAAAAGTTCTTTGAAGAACCGTTTGAGTAAAAAGTTCTTTGACTTTATTCACATGTGCTGTAAAAGCTGTCGTTTAAATCCATTAAAAAATCCTTTTAAATGCAAAATGAGTCTTTTTGACGGCAGTTTGTTCGACTTTTGTCGAGTCCGGAGTTGTCGTCTGTGATTGGTCAGGAGTTCCTCACCTGTCAGGTGTGTTTTGCTGCTTCCTGGGTGTTGTTTTCCACCGAGAGATCTTCTCCCCTCTGATTGCTCATTAAGACATATTAAATATTAAAACCTTGACTCCTTAATGTTTTCAGATAATTATCGCCGTGGGGGGTTATCGGGATCGCCATGGCAACGGGAGCACTCGAGCGATGGCCGGGTTTGACAAGTTCGAAAGAAGAAAAGTACAAAGTAAAGAGAGAAGTTGTTGGTTAGAATCTGCTGACATGTTCCAAAAGATTTGGGTTTCTCGCCCTCTGAGGTTTGTCTGCTACAAACCAGAGACTTTAAATAACACTGTAATGTGAAGAAGTGTTTCCCAAAGACCAGTTTATTCCTAGTCTTAACATTTATATCTCATCTTAAGTCTCGGGTTTGCCGGTTTTCTTGTCGGCCATCTTGGATTTTGTCCGTGGTAACGTTGTTGTTTTGCGGTAGGAAGACTGAGGCCGTATACGTATACGCCTCGAGTAGAGACCTGTCAGTGTACCCGACCCTGAACAATGTTTACTGAGGGAAGGAATCCAGAGAGAAGGCCTCTCCCCATGTAGTTCTATGGGAGCAGAGGAGTCGCCCCCTGCTGGTCACTACAGAGAAGTAGAGTCATTTCCTCATAGACGTCTATGGGAGCAGAGGAGTCGCCCCCTGCTGGTCACTACAGAGAAGTAGAGTCATTTCCTCATAGACGTCTATGGGAGCAGAGGAGTCGCCCCCTGCTGGTCACTACAGAGAAGTAGAGTCATTTCCTCATAGACGTCTATGGGAGCAGAGGAGTCGCCCCCTGCTGGTCACTACAGAGAAGTAGAGTCATTTCCTCATAGACGTCTATGGGAGCAGAGGAGTCGCCCCCTGCTGGTCACTACAGAGAATGCAGCTTTAACACGTGAAGCTCTGGCTTCCTATTTGAGGCCCTATTGTCTGTTCATTAAACCCTTTTCCACAAGATGGTTCTTTGAAGAAAGTTAATGAAAAAAAAGGTTTGCTAAAGAATCTTCTTTTGTAAACCCAACAGGAAGTCGAAAATGTTGATCCTAATGATATTTTGAGCGATTTTTAAAATATACTGTATATATGTATAGCTTTATATAGCTACATAGCTGCTAGTTGATATATAAATTAGGACTGGGCACGTTCATATGTTTTAAATGCATTGGGAGGAGCTTTAAACTGCTGCACATTAAACCAGAATATTTAAATAGACATTTTCATCCTAAAGATGACGTAGTCCATAAAAGCAAATCTATTTGTAACCAGTGCAAACTAGAAGTATCTTATCACCCGAGTACTACGAGCCTTAAGTACTACGAACCTGAAGAACTACAAGCATGAAGAACTACGAACCTAAAGTACTACGAGCCTGAAGTACTACGAGCTGGAAGTACTGCAAACCACAAGTACCACTTAAAGCGTCACGCAGCATTGAAGCAGCCCAACAGCTGCAGACAACCAGAGCAGAGACTTCAGCAGACTGCGCCGATGTGGACAAACCAATGAAGAAGAATGAAGCGTGAATGAGAACCTCCCCACACGAAGCAGGAGAACACGGTCCAACATCTGCACCCGTGAAAGGTGGTTCTCTCTTGCTGGTCGTGTTGTACAGAAGAAGAAGAGAAGTTCTTGATCATCTGAAACGAGAATTATCTTGTGAGTTTCAGCAGTAAAAGAGTCAGAGAAATGAATGAGAAGTGGACGTTAAAAGTTCATTCAGTCATTGAGTAACTGCTCAATTCAAAGGAAATCCTCCGTCTCTACAGACTTAAGTCCTTTCTTCGTGCTGGACCACTTTCCCTCACTAACACTACGGAACCTTCTGCATCCTGTGTTCAATGATAACAGACTAATGTTTCAGAGAATGCCTCTTATATTGTTCTGTTAACATTACTTTAAAATAAAAGCGTGCAATATATTTTTTTTCAATGTATTTTTGAATTTTGCGCGTGGTGAAATTAATCCAGTTACATCTGTTCATCTTTGCCCAGAGCTTCCCAGTGCAGATGAAAGGGTTCTGTAGTGGAATGCAGACAGATGCTCCTCTGCTCTCCCATCCTGCACGGAAGAGGTCACATGACGTGTCTCCTCCCAGCGCGCGTCATGTGACTGAGGATGTCCGAGCTCACATAAGCAGCGTGAAGGTGAGCTCACCTGGCAGACGGCCTGCGCAGGGTGACAAGCACCAGCAGGAAGCCCCCCGCCCCTCCCCCGATGATGTCGCCCCTCACCAACACCACGGGGGGTCTGCAGTATCAGGGCCTGCTGGAGTCGGTGGCGTTCTCCATGCTGACCACGGTCCCGTGCTGCGTCTTCCTGCTGGTCAACGCCGCCATGCTGCTGACCCTGAGGAGCCGGCCTCTGTTCCGTGAGACCCCCCGCTACGTGCTGCTGCTCAACCTGCTGTGCGCCGACACGGCGCAGATGGCCCTGAGCCAGCTGCTCTACCTGCTGGCCGCCAGCCGGGCGCCGCTCACCTACCCGGCCTGCGGCGTCCTCGTCATGCTGGCCGACCTCACCAACGCCGTGTCGCCCCTCACGCTGGTGGCCATGTCCCTGGAGAGGTACGTGGCCGTGTGCCGCCCGCTGAGGCACGCCGCCCTGGTGACGCCGAGGAGCACGATGGCGGCCGTGGCGGCGGTCTGGGCCTTCAGCTCGCTGAACGTCCTCACGCAGGTCGTTCTGCTGCTGGACTTCCCCTTCCAGGACCTGCAGAGCCTGCGGATGGACGACTTCTGCTCCAAGGGCCGGGTGATGCTCGGCGCCGCGTCCGAGGTGTACGACAGAGGCTACACGTGCTTCCTGTTCGTATCGACCAGCGTGGCCGTGGCCTCCTCCTACGTCGCAGTGACGATGGCAGCCCGGTCGGCCTCCAGCGGCGGAGCCTCGGCCAGGAGGGCCCGCGACACGCTGCTGCTGCACCTGGTGCAGGTGGGCCTCAGCCTCTCGTCCACCGTGTACAGCCCCGTCCTCATGGCGCTCTCGCGCAGCGTGAACCGCCTCCTGTTCGTGCGCCTGCAGAACGTTCTCTACGTCGCCATCTTCATCTTCCCTCGGTGTCTGAGCTCGCTGATCTACGGCCTCCGAGATAAGAGCATCCAACCGGTGCTGCTGCAGCATCTGAGCTGTGGGCTGAAGCTCCCAATCGGCACATCACCACCTTCCCCGCGTGATGTAGATGTGTAAATACACATTTATGTAAACATGTATTCATGTAAATAGGCATGTATGTATAAAGGGCTCAACAGAAGCACTGAAACACCCTCCGTGGAGACTTTAAAACGATCCAGAGCAGAAGAGCTCCGCTTGTATCGCGCCATTATTTGTCTTCATTAACGTGTTGATTCCCCTCATGCGTCTCATTTAGTCCTGAAGACTGCGAGTTCTCTTTAGAGACTGAATGCTGAATATTCTGAATTAAACTGCATAAGTTCTGCTGACGAATTCTATATTGTTAAAAGTGATGAACCACATGAATCAAAGATCTGTGGCTGTGTTTTACTCTCATGATTATTTATTATTTATATTCCTATGTTATTTATTAAATACATATTTCAATGAATGTTTAAATAAACATTTTATCATGATTGTTTTTTACTATTGAAATATTCCCAGTGTTAACATAGTTCTGAGTATTATTATACAATTCAATAAATACCAGGTCCAATATACAAAAAGTACAGACTGAAGTCTAAAATCAAGAGAGTCAAGTACTGAATCAGGTCTCTTTTGGTTTGGTTAAGTCTGAAGACAAAACTTTTCCACAGGCACTACGGAGGTTAGTTTACCTCTGTGAATGTGTTCAAACTGAGAAATATGTAACAGGAATATAACGATAATGACATGTGATAATGTCACATGGTCCAGTTTAGCAGAAAGCTTATTTATTACTGTATTTGTATCTGTTTTCGTGTACGATGCATTAACATTTATAAATGTTGGACGTATTTATTTTTGAAAGAACTTAATGAAGCTTCGTAAATATTGAAAAAGGGGCAACGTATTAACCGACTGAGCCGGGAGGGGGCAGCAATGAGACACGTAGCCCCATCCCCAACAAAGAAGAAGACGTCGTGACGTAGGACGTATGAAAGTGCGTAGCGGCGGTCACTTTTCCCTCTTCGTTGACGAAGCTAGCCGGCTATGTCGATGTTTAGCTAAAGGCAGCTTTTCCATCGTGTGACATTTTGCGCATTCTTCGTTCTTTCTTGGAGGAAGGTCGACAAAAGAACCCGACGTCCACGGCAACGTTGTGAAAGGTGGATGTTTGTCCGTCCGACGTTTGTCCGTCTTCCTTTTGTTTTGCTAACGTTTACGTATTAGCAGCCTTAAGCAGGTAGCGACAGAGCTAGCTAGATAACGCTAGCCTCACGCATTAGCTTCTACTAACTAGCGTTAGCTGCTGAGAATGTGTAATAGTGGTATGCCTTTTAAGTTGACTACACAAAGGTAATTATTAACAAGGAAGAGTTGGTCGCTTTGTAAATGCGGTTTTTATTGATCTAACGTTAGCATCAGCTAGTATGTTAGCGGACGTGATGCTATTGGTATGTCAGTACTAGCATACGGCTAAGCGTGATCGTGGTTTTAGCTGCTATTGGCTGGTCACGGTTCGGTTTAAAATCAACCAAACAAGCTTTGATAACAACAGCGGAGATAAATGTATTTACGGTGCCAACAGACTGCTGCAGCTCTTCCATGGTTCATTTTAACGGCTATTAGCTCTACTTTGAAACCTTCTGCCGAAGTTTCCATCTGCTTCATTAGCAATTAGTGGTGTCACGTGACCAGGCAACTTTACCACGGTGGGGGTACTGGATTAGGTACAATTACGAGGTACTTCTGCAACGTGATACTTCTCCACTACACTGATGTATAGCTTTATGCTGTAATGCATACCACAGTTCGAGTATTATATACTTTACTAACGTTATACCTCGGAGCTTCATATAGTACTTCATACTGTACTACATCTCGGAGGCACATGTTGTACTTTACACCCATCTAAACGTTTATTTAAATTGGCACCAAACAAGTGTTTATGTTCTGATTTAGCGCATCAGAACACATGTGGTTGCAACGGTAACGTGGATGTTCAGACTGCTGATGGAGTGAGTGTTTTTCCTCACAGAAGACCTATGCGGTCCCGCTAGCAGGGCAAGATGTTCAACAAGTCATTCGGCACTCCCTTCGGTGGAGGGACGGGGGGGTTCGGCACCTCGTCCACCTTTGGGCAACCAAGTGAGTCAATTTATTTATATAACGTTAAGTATGGGTTCAAACCGACAACCTCGCCGAGTTGTGATTTATGTTCATTCTCTACACTTCTCTTGCTGTAGGTTTCTTGGTTTTTTTTTAATCCACATCAGGAATCAGGAAACATTTATTTGCCAAAATATGTCAAACATACAAGGAATTTGTCTTGGCGGTTAGTGCGCGACAGTAGACCGACAAGACAACAGTGCACAAGTAATAAAATAAAGTAGAATGAAATGCTAATGCAATGGATTAGTAGAATAAGGCTATGGGTTAGTATAAAACAAGGGAATAAAGTTAAAAAGTGCACTTTATGCTTAATATTTTTCTAACGAACAAGTAACAGACTAGTTGATCCAAAGGAATTGTTCCTGTGTGCGGGTCACCGGGCAGAGAACTGTACAGATTGAAAGCCCTCCAAGACGAAGGTGTGGATTCTGTGCTGTACAAAACGAGTTAATGTTTTTAGCTAACCGGTAAACAGATTGAAACCGGCAACACAACTAAGATAAAATGTCACCTAAAACCCCGGCTGCCGCGCTTTTCCCTTCGATAGATGGTTCTTCATTTATTTAGGATATATTCTGACGAATAAAACATTCTTTGAAAGAGCGTACCTGTATTACTATGCTATTATATTGTCATTATCAGTGGCAGAAAGTGGTCTGGAAAAGGCCGTGTAGAGACTCATTTCATAGTGTCGAGAGAGTGATCGGGAAGCTCATTCCAGTCACAAAGAACCATAACGCATCGCCGGAGTGGAATTTTCATAATTTGTCCCCTTTAAAGCATCTGTGTGTGTCCTTCTGCTCACGTGAACTTCAGACGCTGGTTTCGGGGCGACCGGAGGCTTCGGGACGTCTGCGTTCGGGGCGACCGCCAACACCGGAGGCCTGTTTGGAGCCACGCAGAATAAACCTGGTTGGTCACTCAGCGAGCATCTCCTGAGGCAAACAGAACCATGAGTAGTCCCCGGTAGTGTTACACGGTGTACCGGTACTAGAATGGTACCGCGGTACCCATACGTTGAAAACAATGCGGTTTTGAATACTTTTAGTACCGGTACTTTAAAAAAAGCACCAATCAGAGCGCACTCACTGTTGCGCTCCGTGTCAGGCTGCCTGCACACATCGACTGCAGCTCTCACACATGTTATCAGGGGAGACGCGCCCTCACGTAGCAGACTGCTCACTCATATACACTTGCTTGATGTTTGACTGTTTGGAAAATTGTTGACTTGCTAGTTTGTCATAAACAAAGTAAGTTTAGCCGCTAGCAGACATCTCGTTAGCAAGCTTGTTATAAAACACTAGCATATTGATGCTAGTATTAAGTGCTCTCGGGTCGGCTTCTTTGTAATGCTATAGGGACTTTTCACTAAACCTTGGAGTGAGACGTTGGGGGTGAAGCTACGGTTGACGGGGGTGTAAGTTTCGCTACGTGCAGCGAATCGGGTTATAGATGCGCCGTTTAGATGAACCATTTTTAGCGTAATAAATTGGATGTGTGGCTTGCGTGTGAAAACATGGAACACGCGTGTCACACGGGGAAACCGTGAGAGTTGGCAGCCCTGTAGCTTTGTTGGCTAGCTTGACAACAACTTTAGTAAGTTCCTGAATAGTCCAACAGAAATATATACATGCACACAAAACTGTACCAAATAATACACACTTGATGCAATAGGCTACATGCTGGTGGATCTTCACCTAATCCTTTTTATTTTTAGTTAAGGAAATATGAATGTGAGAATATCAAACTATGATACCAGGTTAAAAAAGGAACCTTACAGATGTTTTATTTATTACTATCATAGATAAATATATTCCATTATCCTATTTGTGGTATCGGGTACCGTAATATTTTGGCAGGCATAGTATCGAAGTCATAATTTTGGTATCGTGACTACCCTAGTCCCCGGTGGATCACAAATCTGTCTCTGGTCCAGCAGGTGGTCTGTTCGGCTCGAGCACCTTCAGCCAGCCAGCGGCGCCCGCCGCCAACGCCGGCTTTGGTTTTGGAGCGGCGACCGGCACCACAACCAGCTTGTTTGGCAACACCGGGACCGGCGCCAGCGGCGGCCTCTTCTCCCAGCCCAGCAATGCCTTCGGGCCCGGCAAGCCCACGTCGTTTGGAAGTGAGAACCCGCCTCAGCTCACTGCTCCATGGTCTTTTTATGGGGTTGGCCAGTAGGAAGCCTTCTTACTAGTGACACCAGGAGTCTGATGAACTATAACACACACAATTATACGACACTAAGCTGAAGGACAAGTCTGATAAACGCCCCTAAACCATGTGGATTGTTCAAGTGCTCAGCCCAGTGGTGGTTTTTGATTTGTTTATCTTATGAAGAAGTCTCGCTCCCATCGTGTCCTCCAGGCTTTGGGACCAACACCAGCGCCGGCGGGCTGTTTGGAGCCACCAACACCGCCTCCAACCCGTTCGGTGGAGGCGCCGTTGCCTCCCTGTTCGGAGCCTCCGGGTTTACCGGCACCGCTCAGCAGCAGCAACAGCAACAGCAGCCAGGAACCACCGTCAAGTTCAACGTGAGTTCACTGTGTGTGTGTGTGTGTGTGTGTACATAATCAATTTAGAAAGGGTGTACTTTATTGAATTGTGTTTTATTGCCCCCATGTGATCTTTGAAGTGGAACATGTTGAACTAGCGACTCATCATTTGACGTGTTTGAACAAGGTCCCACATTTAGCAGGAGGTTTTCAAACCACTGTCTTCTATGGACACAGTGGTGGTTCTCTGCAGGTAGATGTTGACATGGAAGTAGCCTAGCAGCTAGCTTAGCGTTGCTTTAAGTTTGCCACTCGTCCCCCTTCTGTTTGATACGTGGAGGAATTCTTCTGCAGTTCTTCTGTTTGTTTTACTTCCAATGCTAAAAGTTCTATCGCTACCAGATTTACACGTTAACTTTGACAGCCCTAATAAATACATATGGCAAAGTCATTTGTGTAATTTCTGTAAAGATATCAATACATACACATAAATCAATGCTCGAAGACAATATTTGGTATTGATCAAAGTTCTGTTCCCCCTCCAGGCTCCTACAGGAAGTGACACCATGGTGAAAGCCGGCGTGACCACCAGCATCAACACGAAGCACCAATGCATCACGGCCATGAAGGAGTACGAGAACAAGTCCCTGGAGGTGAGTGGTAGTTTGTCAAATGGGTGGTTTAAATTTGCCTTTAAATTCCCTTTATCTAAATTTATGAAAATCGTAATGATGGA